TCAGTCAGTTCTCGGAAAGTATAGTAGCATGGGGATTTCTCTTTTTAAATCATACTTAAATAATGATCAAGCTGATATTACGCAAACTGCTTAGCCTGATGCTTTCCCCAGGTTTACTGTGGGGCTTTTTTGGCTCTGTAAGCCTGGAGATTGAGAAATGCAATGCAGGCACTGATATTGAATTTCCGATTCGCCATTAGCCTCCCGTTTAATGATTAGAAACTTCCAGCGGTACACAAGGAGACGCTGTCCTTCTGCCATCTTTAGAGGTCCTTTGCTCACAAAATGCTGAGGCTATGAAACTGAAAGCTGTGGGTCTCATGGCTAGTAATGGAAAGGTTTTTTTTTTTTTTGTGGGAGAGACAAATCACAGCTCCACTATCTGAAAATGCTACATGACGTGTCCCAAGAACAGATGAAAGGTTTTGTTTGCTGCCACTGCCGCCCACACTTTTTATCTTTCTTTTGATCCTTTAACTATCAGGTCATTGACACTCCAAGGATCATTAATCTGGCGCAGTCCAATTTTTCCTATTTTCTTTTCAGCCCACTGACTAAGAAGGAGCCCCCCATTCTTAGCAGATCTCAAATCTGTATGAACAAACCCCACGATAAGCAGTGACCTGAGCTGATACTCCCTGGCCTTGCTCCCTTAATGTCTATTTGAGGAATGTTTTAAATGTATTGATTAGATGCTCTGACTGCTGTTTTTTCAGTGCACCTGTGCTGCTTAATGCTGTACATATAAGGCTTTCCTTTAGTAAACCTGCACACTGAGCGTGATCAGAGGTCTCTTATAGAGGCTGAGAAGCAAAAACAAGAGAAAATGTTTTATGATGTTTCCTTGTCTTTAAATATTCATGTAATGAGTTGATCTTGCGGTTGTAACTGCCGATTAACATAACTGAGATGGTTTTCTTTGCTGGCTGAATTGTATTTTTGGCTAAATCTGCATCAAAGCAATAGCGAAGTTATCACATGTTGGCTTCTGCAACACATCACTTTACATGTGGGAAAGATACATATCTAAAATGGATTATTTAGTCTGTTTTAAATAGACATCTTTGCAGCATGGAGGCCTACAAACTTATTTTACAAGTAGATTTTCCAATTTTACTCATAACTGAAAAATCCGTTCTTCTTCTTAAAGCTAGTTTTTCATTACAATTGTATATATTTAAAAAATGTATTCACACCTAGCCCATTTACTCCGTGGCTCCACTTAAAGCTCGTTTAAGGACTAATGAAATTAACCAAATGCAAACTCAAAGTTTGTATGAGTTTTAAGATTTTCTTAGGGGCAAACTTATGAAAATAATTTACCTAGATTTAAAGATTTATGTATTTTTTTATTATTATTTATTACTCATTTACTTTTTTATATAATTTTAATACAAACCTATTAAATAACCATTAAAGCTACAGTGTGTAATTTTTAGCGACATCTAACGTCCAGACTGCAGACCGCAGCAACATGAACATTTCCCCCCCACCGCTTCTCCCCCCCAACAGTACTGCGAGCGTTACGGGACAAAATGTCTTCCACGACGTCCGCATCACCTACCTTCTCAAGTGATGAGGTTTGTTTACATAGATAATTTTACAGATAGTATTCTCAGGCATAATACTGGCATCTATTGTTCAGTACCGTCTCAGTTCATCTCTCTCAACTTGCCGTAGTTACTTTCGAGCGTAATGGGCGATCTCGCAATCGCTAGTTTGTTGGCTCTGCGCTGCCGTAGCGCAAAGATGTCTGCCTCCATGGCTGCGAGACCCGCTCCTATGTAATTATAAATAACGAATTCTAAGGCAACGCAAATATTAAGGTTGAGAGGCTGAGCTCGTAGATGCTGATGAATAACATAGTTATGTATAATATATTACATTTCTGACTGTATATCCCTGTAATTATTACACACTGTAGCTTTAAATGATGTGCATTAACTTGTAATTATTTAATTGAAATACATTATCATCTGGTTTCTTTATTTAGTCTTAATAAAGTATACTTACTAAAAAATTTTGATTAATGAGTATACTTGTTTAAAATTCATTAAAAAAATATGAAAATAAACTACAAGAAGTTCATTCTTGGCATTGCACATAGGTAACCCTGATTATTATGAAATTCCAACAGTAAACTATATTTGAAATAAATACACTCGTATGCATAATTTTGAACTATTAATTCTAAATACATAAACATGACAATTATGTATATTTTAAAGAAATAAAATAATGAATATGCATCAAGTAAAGTTTATTTAAGGTTTGTGGTTTAATTATCTAAAAAAAATAAATACAAATTTGTTATGTAATAAAATTACATCTATCTTCAGATTTGGGTGAAATATTATTGTGAGTGCAGAAAAAGAGGTGGTAATATTTAGCTACATAAAACAGTTTGTTTAACAATTATTGTACAGTACATGTGAAGTTTTTTACACTCCTCAAAGTTTTATTTATTCTTTCACATTAAAACCTCACTAAAATGTTTAATCATATAAAAGACACAAAATGGTGATTTAATGGAATGAAAAGCAAACGGGAAAAGACAAATATAAATCTCTAAAAAATGGGGTCCACATATATTAAGCTTCAGCTAATCTGTTAAGTCTAAATATATCCAAGTCTAATCAATGGCCTTCATGCAAAGCACTAAACATGGATGGAAGTTCAATCTGCTCAAATATTCTAACTGGACAGCCTCATTGTTATGCATGTTATTGACGGTATTGTGTGAAGGTAGGAGGAGCTAAATATAGAAATGTACGGGAAGGAAAACCTGCAAGATTCTGCAGAAGACTTGGAGAGTCCCTTTCACCAATGTATTAGTCAAAGTCTAGATGTGAGATGTGCAAACAGCTGGAGACATAATTCCAAAGCTTTCCAGCTGTAATCTAAACAAAATACTGTACAGCAAATTATCAACTTGGAGCAGCTGAATATTAGTGCATGTCAATGTTTTAATTTTATTTTAAAGGGTTTCTAAAACAATGCATTTCTTCACCTACATACTTTGTGTTTGTCTCTCACTAAAATGAATTTAAAACCAACCAGCATATGTAGTTGTAAGGTAGCAATATTAATAAAAGCTCGATAGATATGATTACATTTCCACAACACTACTGACAAAAGCATGTCAGAATATGCACGAGAGAGATGATTTAAAAACTGTTTTATAAATATAAAATTTGGCTTAGGAAAATATTTCTTCATAGTTAACATTTGTTATACCAGCTGTTCCTCCACAAAACCATGAGGACAAAGATTGACTTTATATATGCGTGGTTCTAAATCCACAGTTTGACATGATGACAGCTGCACTATGGTTACTGTTGTTAGCACTCTTGCTTCACAACAACAAGGTTGTGGGTTCGAATGTCAGCTGGGAAAGTTTGTATTTTTTAAAGAATTTTAACATTCTCCCTATGCATGTATGGGTTTCTCCAGCAAATTTAGCTTACACCTACCAACCAGAAACATGCATGTTAGGTTTATAATCCACTACTCTCTTAGTACTCTTCTCTGTGCATAGAAGCTTTATTGTCTGGAGTCATCATTACATGCTGCCTCCTACTTCCATTTCCTGTATACAATAATCAGTGGTTCCTGTATAAATAGACACCTAATCCAAAAATGGGCGATGATTTTAAGATACTGTTTGAAGTAGCTTCTCTTTTTTCTTTTCACATCATTGTAAGATGATAAAAGTCCTTTTTGGTATTAGCCATTAGCTAAGCTGGAGTTATTTTAAATAAAGATGTCTAAGACTTATATATATTATAGGGATGGCATTAATTGTTCAATAACCCTTTAAACAGAAACAAACAAACAAAACAAAAAGTTGAATTAAAACCGCGAGCGGTATTGACGGCCCTCGCAGCTCAGAGCCGCTCGGTCTATTGCGACCGCGGGAGCCGAGCGACCGCCGCCCCCTTGCTCCTTCCCAGCCAGCGGAAAAAGTTCCACGCTTCACTCCTGGACCAGCCGGAGACAACCACAGCTTTGGTCAGGAAAGGTTAAACTAGGGATGAAAGATAATATCTGGGATGAATCTCATCTGTCAGATAGACGCTGCGGCCATCTCAGCTGGTGGGTCAAAAGAGGGAGAAACAGCACCCCCAAAATCCATGGTTAGCAGTATTACACCCTACTCAAAACAAAAAAAAATCATTAAAAATCCACAGTTTGCAATAAAATACCGAAAAAAATAAAAAAATGTCAAGAAATACATCTTGCATATCTTAGAATTGTTTTAGATGATTTACTAAATAATTCAAAGAAAGAACAAATCTTTATACTTGAATGCCATATACTGAGGCAGTTGAATACACCATAAGATGCTCAAACATGCATAGATTCATGCCAAACTTGGCAATCTTTACCATAATCAAAGGATAAATAACTGTCCCAATCATTCCAGAAATGATTCACTTTGTATTAGATTTTTTCCTGCCTCACAAAGTAGGCAGCAGCTTGACAAAGCCATGATGGCAATTATTTTACATTATTATGGTATCGGCCGATACTGCACAGCCAGGTATCGGGTATCGGTATCGGGGCCAAAAAATGGCATCGGCGCAACACTAGTTTTCAGGTATGATAAAGCCTCCAAATAAGCGATTCGTTTCAGAGAAAAATAATAATAAACATTCGAATTACAATAGGCCTTCGCAGCGCTTCGCTGCTCGGGCCTAATTATCCATCTATACAGTATAGAACTGAATTGGAATGGATAGGGAATGCAAAGCTTCCCCCTGCTGGATGTAATATATACTATCCTCACTTGTGTTTGCTTGTTTCAGACATGGCTTTAGACACATGATTTATCACCAACCAAATTAATACTGCTATTATAATTGTGGATACTCCTAAGACAGAGGGGATGGAGTGTATGCCTTCATCTTGATCTTTTTATCTTCAACTTAATCATTCATTTAAAACACCAGGAGGCTTTACAGTGACAAACAGATGAAAAAAAAAAACACATTTAAAAGTTGTTTTATTTTTAGATGCTTCTATGTACAAAAACATTTACAATGCACTAGATGAAAGATATACAATCCATTACAGCAGTGCTGATGTGAGGAGATGAGTAGGAATGGTGAAAAACATATATCAGAGATAAAAACGGGTTGAAGAGTGAAGCTTTTGAGAGTAAAATATAACTGCTTTTAGGTCCACTGTTAGTGCTATGAATGTCTATATTAGTTACAGTAAATGAAATGAACCCAGGGCTCTTTCTTCGAATAAGCCAGATCACTTTAATCCAGCTGAAATGATAATATTTTATCGAGCAGCATATACGGTAGAAGATAATGCTTCAGTAAAAATGTCACAAATACTATATTCTTCTGTGTTTGAGTAGTAGCTATAACATCTAGGAGAAGATTTAAAAAAGTTTTTTCTCATACAGTACTGTGATAATATAAAGGATATGACATACATTTAATTTCAGGCACATTCAATAATAGTAGCAAATTTAACTGCATTCAACTGGAAGAAGTCAAATGGCACTTCAGAACAGGATGTCCAACGTAGTTAACGTGTAAAAATGTACAGATTAAAGTACAAAGCATAGTTGATAAAGTTTGTTGACCTACTTTGGATATGCACGCATGCTGAAGGTCATGTTTTGTACAATGAATTAAAGAATAAAACTTCACACGAGTCAAAAAGTTTACATACAGTGATGAATAAAATGAATCCTTACTTAGAGCATCATATAACACCAATTTTATACAAATAAATCCAATGTTTCACTTGTATATCTGCAGTGTATACTTCACTATATATATATTCAGAACAAGAAGTGAAATGATGGAAAAGAGTTCATCGCTTACAGTGCATGGATATTGCTTAGCAGCTGCTTTGAGTTTTGCTGCAAAGAGTTGCTGGTCCAGCCTAATGCATTTTTAATTTGAAATAAATTACATTTTAATCCTGTAGTGTAAAAACTCGATGATGCTTATAAAGATTAAAATGCAAAGACATATTCTTGAAAAGTTGGCATAGCTGTAGGGTAGATTTCTGTAGGAAGATTGTTGTAAAATGTTGAAAAAGAGAAAAAAAATCCAGAAAACCTCTGTCGCAGGCGCACTGCTGTTCAGTGTTTCCATGCTGCATCTTAATAATAAAAGGGTCCAACGATCTTTTGCCTGCAATGTTTATATTAAAACAAAACAAGAAGATCTTCACAGACAAATAATTGGAGTTATCTGTAATTCAGTTCCATGCCACTGGGCGGCAGCCTTCTCTAAACTCCAGTGCTTCCATTTCAGTATCTCCATAGATATCAGATGTGCTGAATCTTTAATGATGGTCAGCAGGTAGTTTTGTTTTACATTTTCCTCACGGGAGTCCTAGAAGCTGCACACAGCAGGGATTTTTCACCCCAGTGAGCAGATGCTATAAAACTGTAGCCTCTTCTATGGCGTTGACCCATCTGAAAAGCAAAAATGAAACATGCTGACAGTCTTATTGAAAATTGTTCTGTTTATTCCATGCAGATATTCAGCTTTTAACATGGTACTGATAGCAGTATTTTTTTTTAGGTCATTGCTGAGATACTTCTATATAAAGCACATTTTGGATAAGTGCATGAATAAAAATGACTATTTCAGAGATTCTGCAACTTGCTGTGGAATTTAATCGCAGTGATGTTAGGAATGGGGCAAAATCGATCATGTACAACTATGGTTCAAAGAAAGTGCACTTTGTCTCTCAGTTTCTGCCAAACGTCAAATACTCAACCATTATCCCAGTCTCCAAGAAATTCACCAGCACAGGGATTGGGTGCAAAGTGTTCATATAAGACCTTTTGCAATGGGTGTCAAAACATATGCAAGAGCCTACAAGCCCCCTGCTGGACCCTCTGTGGTTCATTTATGAGGCAAACACCTCCTGGACATCCAGGAAGGTACACCAGGATCAGCTGAGCCTTTAACAACATCAGCTTTGACAACTCACACCTGAAGCTCACCCAGTTAACAATGCCTGCCTCCATCTGTCAGTGGATAATCAGGATCCTGACTGTCTCTGGGGATCTGACTTGGTCATCACACAGGGATACTGTTTGGAAGATGGCCTAAAGGAAACTGTATGTCCTGTGACAACTTAGGAAGTATAACCATCAACAGGAGCTGATGATCTTTTAGTACACTGCCACCATTTATTCTGTCCTATATCTTTCTATCTCTGTGGGATTTGTCTCTTAAGCAAAATAATAAAGCTTAATACTGAAAAGCTTTTCCTTAAGAGCATGTTTGAACTAGAATCACATTCATTGTTTGTGGGAACAAACTTATTATAGAAAGAAGATATTGTTTCAGCCTAGGGTTTTTTATTGATATAACCACAGCTAACTCCAACATTAATTAATGCATCTTACAGATTTATAAATCACGACTTTTAAATAAAGGCTGAAAGGAGAAGAAAAACAACTTTCAAGTTGAGGGCACTAACTGCAACATCTAGAGTCTCACTGCTTCTAGTCTTGTGGCAAAATTGAAATAAAGAAAAACCAAAAATAACCATCAGAATAACTTGAATCTCACAAAAGTACTAAATAAAATTCTATGCACTGCAAAAAACGGAAATAAGTAAAATTTTTTCCTAAAATAAGTTCCTTTTTCCTAAATTGAGGAGAAAACTGAGACACTCTGCCAATGGAAGTGGAAAATGTACATTTAAAATAGGAAAAAAAAAATATTGCATTGTCTTATTCTAAGTGCATACTATCTAATTACCGTATTTTAAGAGTAAAAATAATCATTCCTATGGCAAAGCATCTCATTTACCTAGTCAAATTAAGGGCAAATATACTTGTACACATGTAAGAAATTTCTACTTAAATCTAGATAATTTTTCAAGTGTATAAATGAACAAATGAAAGGCAGACATTGTTTTTTAACCATGCTTCAACAGAATGATTTAAAAAAAATTAACCTATTGACCCGGGCCTGTACAAAAATGATAATGTCAACTTAATATTTTGTTACACAAAAAATGTAGAATTTGGACATACAGGACAGATGGCTTGTATTTTTTAAACAGACAAACAGGAGGATGATCACGGTTTCCAGTATTTTGTTGCCATTCCTATTATCCATCTCTTTGATTTGTCATTAAATTTCCTCCTGTTGTCATGTCCAGGGGATATGACTACAGTCTTATGGATCTTAAAATTCTGAACAATATGAGCAGCTTTAGTTACAGGAAGATCAAGCTGCTTGGAGATGCTATTACAGCCTTTACTTTTAAATTACTTGTCTATAATTTTCTATCTAATCTCCTGAGACAAATGTTTTCCTTCCCTCATCTGGTCCATGTTGAGTGTGAGACACACCATATTACCAAAAGCACACTACCTGTAGCCTCATATATAGACCCCCTGACCTGTTACAAGATTGTAGACACCTGTGGTGCTAAGTAGTGGACACACCTTAATCTGACATGTCTTTTGGTCACATTATTCTTAGTCTTTTCTAGGGGTACATGCATTTTTACTTCCGGCCTTTTTTTTATGGGTTTATTATTTTAAATAATTCTATTGAAGCACTTTGAAAAGCAATTTCTGACTTTTATTTTTTCTTTTCAGCAGTATTTTTATGCGACCCTTGTTTATAAACAACCATGGGTCACAGAAAGAAATAACTTCTTTCATTAAACGTGATGTCCCAACAATTTTGTCCTTGTGTCTATGTCTTTCTCTTGATAATTATTAGATTTCATCCTCTTACATAGGTGTTCTCTCCCTTTATTATTGAACCTACATAGGACACCATCTTCTTAACATTTTAATACGACAATTAAAAGAAAGGATGACTTACCAAAATTAAACCAGAGGTGTGTATTCTAAATAAATACATAAAAAAACAAATTTGATCTACAAAGAGGGCGATGTCCACACTGACCTGCGTGCAGTGTGTTGATCATCAGCTCTAAAGGTGTAGTAGAGGGTTTTCTTGTGGTATAACTGAAACACGTTGCTGCCTTCTTCTCCATCTGGTCTCTCGGTCAGCTTCACAGTGAAGCCCTGCAGAGGTAGACTTTCCGAAGCCACTTTATCCTGAAGAAAACACAGTTAAACACTGAACATGGTGCAAATTACAAATAGAAACATTGCTGGTAGGAGCTACAACAAAAGTGTGTCTTTTGTGTTTCAAAAGGAGCGAAGCAGGGAAACAAACAGAGGTACTTTTGTGGGAAGAAAGAGCAAGCGAGCACAGAGAATCCCACTATTATTAATTCAGTGATTTGCAAGTGAAACTGAGAGAGCTTGAAAAAGGTTGAATATTTCCCGGCATGAGGAGGCGAAAAAGAATAGATGTTGCAAAGAAAGGAAATGCCCTTTTTGATTGAGCTAGAATGGGGCGGCATAATGATAAAAGGATCATAAGAGTGTTTTGGGGCTGGTGCGGGAGACTCTGTGCCCCCTCACCTCACGGGATGTGAAGGTGTAGAGCACCTTATCTTTGAGGAGGAACCACAGCCTCTTCCACTTCCTTTTGCTCTTCTTCCGACGCTGGAGGCTGCCGCTCATGGTGGATCCATCCACCCCAAGTGACACCTGATGAGATTCATGCAACAACAGCAGAAAAGTCATAATAAAGACATTAACATTAATCATTAGCATCAGATGTCTTTGGAAGGATGGTTTTATAATGTTGCCTTTTTAGTACAACATTTTAAAACATAACCGACTGTAAAGAAGGTGAAATGAACTTTCCTGGCAACTGTTTTTAACATTAACCTCAGCAATCATGAGTGCCACAGATTCCAATTCATAATGCAGCAAAAGCAGGATGAAGGTCCCGGATGGTCTAGTGGTCAGGATTCAGCCCAGGTTCCATTTCCAAGCAGGGAACATCCCTTTTTTTATGTCTTAGAAGTGGAGTAGTGTGAGGCAAAAGCTGATCGCTGAAACTAGAATACTTTGAATTCACAGAGCAAAATATGTGCAACAGGGGATCAATCCCACCTGACTGAGATTGGAGATGCTTTTTCTGGATTTCCACAAACTGGGAGGCTGCAGACTTTGAAAAACGGCAGAGAGGGGCCGACTGGCCCTATGAGTCCGAGGGCTGGAGTTACCACATGCTCCCGATATGCTGCCACCTGCAAACATGCACAACAGTAATGATCTGCTGCAATAGCAAGTAGAAATACCTGCTTTCTCTAGTCTCAACTTTTATAATTAAAGTGTTCACCTCTTTTTCTGAGCTCAGCATAGCAGTGATCACAAACTTTGGCCATTCTGTCTTTAAGGTACTTCAGAGGATATCTGTTCCTAGAACAAGCTCGACACACCACCTGTTCAAAGACATAAAACAGATTACTGTGCTTTATGTGAGATTCTCAAGACAGCTTTATTCCAGCTAAGGTCTATGGGAGCAACTGCAAACTTACACAGGAGTCACAAATTATGGCTCAGTATCAAAACACCAGTAACCTCTTGAATAAGCTCAAACTGAAAAAATAATTTAAAACGTGTTTAAATGCTCAATGCATATACTGATCCTCTTAGAAAATAAAATAGATATATTTGTTAATGAAAACAAATGAGCAAATATATTGGCAGAACAAAGACCTCTGATGAAATCTGTTGAAAAATGCACTGTGATTACAGTTGCATCTCAGAAGCCTTAGATAAATTAGAAAAGACAAAGTAAAGTCTGAGTAGCAGAGGAATAAAATAAAAGGGACTAAATTATTTAAATATAGTGTTAAAATCAGTTTAAAATGTTGCATTCTTAGAGTGACCTTAAACACGCTTAAAGACAGGTGAAAATAAAAGGAATGGTCTTTAGAAACTAAATTGTAAGCAGATTGGCATTTAAAATGCCCTAGAAAGGAAAGGTGTTTTTTGTCCGTGTGGTTCACATTAAAATACCCAGCAGCGTTGCTGGGACTCCCGTACCATTGAAGCGGAGGAGGGATGTCACAACAATGATCTTAGATAATCATGGTTCATAAATCAGTAAAAAAAAAAAAAAAAAAAAAATATTTGAATCCTGGGTGTCTTGTAAAATATAAAGTGTTGATGTTGTATTAAGTCCAAACAGCTGTGTAATAACACTGAGAGTGTAAATTTAGACTTATTCACGTTGTTAATTTGTAATGTTAACATTTAGCATTTACAAAAGCTTATTTGCATGGGATAAAAACACACAAAACAGTATTACTCTTTGGACAAACCTGTCTAGTGAAGAAATAAGTTACTCATAACTTCGTATGGCTTTAAACAAGAAAACTATTGTTTGGCAAATCAATGTCTTCAGGTGGACGTTTCGTTCCCCCACATAGGAAAAATCAAGCTGATTGAGCAGCTGACCTCCAGGTGACTCAGGCTGGTATGTTTTCATTTAACCCTTCAATGACCATTTTTGCAAATATGCAACAAACCCTTTGTATTACGTACACAGCCAAGATAGCATGTGCAGTATCAGTTATTACACATCTAGAGTTGACTTAGGAACTTTTAGTGAGCTCTTGTTTCCGTTACAAGATATATGGATCTATGGATATACATTAAGGTGTCAAGGGGTTACAGTAAGTCATTATCTGAAACAAGGTTTTGTACATGTTAAGTGTATTCTCCACACTTTGGATAGCTCAACCCACAAAACGCAGCAGTGTTGATGATGTCATCAGCTTTAGCTGAGAAAAATCAGTATTTGTTACTAAAATGCCTTACCTTTCCACAGGCGTTACAGTGGTGTCGTCTGAGTGTAAGGCTGAAATCTGAGGTACAGTTCATGCACATCATAACCTGGGAAACCGGCACAAGCACAGGAGCAGCCTCACCAAGAGCCATCCATAGTTTCTCACGAGCCTGTTGGAACAGCATATTAATGTAGCTGAAACGTCACAGCAAGAAACTTTCTAATTATCAGAACTAATATTGTTAATTCCAACATACAGATTCCTGCAGACTATTTGCAGTTTGTTTTTGTCAGTTCAAACTCTATTAACATTAAGCTATTCAAAATTGCTTTAATTAGTTTATTTGAAACACTCAGACAAAATGAGGTTAATGCAAATTTGCTCTCTAGTGAAAATTATTTCATCACACAATTTTCTATGCTACCTCACTGCAGGGACCACCAAAAGTGCAGAGTCCTGCAGCATGGTCTGCAATGGCTCGACTCAAAGTGTGGAACCAGTCCTCTCGCTCTCCAACCGAACTGAAAAAAAAAATGTATATCTTAAACGTAATAGTTACAAAACACTTGAGACTTCAAAGCGTATGCTCCCAAAAGAAAAAGCTTTTAAAATGATTTTATGCAAGGAGATCTATAAAGAAATCAACTGGTCGCAAATATCTGCGTTCAGCTTGATCAGCTCAAATCATTTAAAAAATTGAAAAATTCAACTTTTTTTTTTAGTTTAGACTAAAACATAATCAAGGTTTTAAAAATACACTTTGGTTTAAAATTTGGAAGGAAAAAACTCCTCAGTTTGCTCTTTTGCAGGACCAGTTTGGATGTCAAACTGAAGTCAGAAGAAGAAAGCCAATTCAAATAGCTTTCTGTTTTCAAGACATGGCTGCTCTAAAACGCTCTAAAAGAGGAATCTTCCAGCAGATAACAAGAAGGCTACACAGTCTAAAGCCAGGTTGTTGTTTTTTTATCCTTTCAAGCTTTCAATGCCTGTCTGTTATGAAATATTCAGGATTTTGCATGTTGTACGGTAAAGGATATAAAAGTCTACATTTTCAAAGACAGAAAGTTCTGTTTGAGAAGCTACGCTACCTATGCTAACTTTAATAGTTTCTTAAGTAAGCAAAAGCTTATAGTAATTTTGTCTTTTCGTTAAATTACAAGTGCAATTTTGTTTTACAGCATTTGCTTCCTCTCAAACAGCATCATGCTACCCTGTCTCTTAATATAAATAATTCATGACTACTCACAGCAGGAGCAGTAGGAAAAATATGAAATAAAAAGCTAGATAGCTAAGATCTGGAGTTGTAATTATAAATAAACAATAGTTGCAGGCTGTTTCAGTTGCTCACCTGGCAGAGAGAGTTATAGTGATGTCAGACACCTCAATCCGAAGACAGTTAAGCACACCTTCCAGGATGGGTTTGCTCACCTGTGTGTGCAAAGCAAAAAGCACAAAACAAGGGTGACAGTTTGCATGTGTATACATGGGAAAGAAGTTGAGTTCGCTCAATCATTTAAGGTTTGCTCACCTTCATCCCTGAAAGGGAAAGGGTGTTTTTAAGTCTGTATTTTCCATCCTGCTGGGGGTAGGTATACAGCATGATATCATTCATCTGTTCAGAATAGAAGGAAAAAAAGTAAATGAACAAAACATATTAAAAAAACAATTAGTTTTTGAATCCTTAGTTATGCAGTATAACACCTGTAGTACCATTACACTGACACAAGGTGGGGGTGTGACACTGACAGATATCTAACAGCCTTGTCTTTTAACGTTCACTATTTGAAGGAATAGTAATGTTTTTGTTGTGTCTGAGTATTTATGGGCAGTCAGTGTATTTCCCACAGGTGAAAACACTCCAAGTTCAGAAATTCAAGAAGCATTTCTCTATTAAATTGAAGCTTGGATACACACAGCTAAAGTTTTGAAAAAAACAACATTAACAATTAATTTGAATTAAAATTATATATTTTTTATTTTTTCCCCCAGAGTTTCTTTAAACTTAGTGTTTTACTATTCCCATGTCTACACATCAATTAAAAGAAATGTTTATTTGAATATGGGAATAAAGAGTTCTAATGCCCTGAACACACTGAGCCCATTGTTTTATAAAACATAACAGACAAAAGACATGACATCATTGGTCACACCTAATGTGTGGTCTAAACATCCGCTGGGGCCCTACAGGCAGCATCCAGGAATTCTCCACCCTGCTCTGGACTCCCCTCACCTTAAGAGCCCCGTCAGGTTGAAAAGAACCAGGACTGGGTGGGACCTGCCACCTTCAGCACAACAACAAAAACACAAACAGCCTCAGCAAACCTTTTTCATTCCATCATTATTTTTTTTTAAGCTAAGTGCTGGAGACAAAACTGCCTGGCTGCAACCTTTGGCCTGCAGCCACTGGGATTTAGGAGCTCCACCCTTTGCTGTTGGTTTACTGAAAGGTTCCTTCCACATAAATGCAGACAGGAGCTGAATTAACTGACTTCACAGGCTCAACCCATCAGCACAGACACCCACAAGCCCCCCATTTGCTCCTCAGACATTTACTTCTTCAGCTGTGACTTCTACTTTCCACTTCTTTTTTTCAGCTGTCTCCATCTGCCTGTTAATTCCTTATTCATTTGAAGCTGCCTTTATTTCTTCGGTGAGACAAGCGTTGCAAAATGGTTGCAGTTTCTGTCTGTCTCAGAGGGAATTGATGGCTTTCATCTTCACACTTTAGATTTCCTATCCTTAAAAGTCAATAAATAACAACTTTGCTTCTGGTAATGCAGACTTTATGGGGGAAAAAGGGCTTTATAGCAGTTGGGTTTAGCTGCAGGTGGAAGAAGGACTGAGAGCTGGATGGGATGGAGCAAAATGAAAAAAGATAAATTAATCCAGGGAGCATCTTTATGTTTAAGTTGGATTAACCAAGAGAAGCCCAAACCCTAAATGCTGCTCCTGCGGATATCTCCCTGAAACATATTTCATAACATGAGACAGCACTGATTGCGCATGGAACAATAGAGTGGGCTTCTCTATTTCACAAAATGTGTTTGTGTAACACCCCCACCCCTGCTTTGCCACCTCCTCCCCACATTCTACAGGGTGTCTGGCCTTCACTTCACTGTCAGTCCCTTCCCAATACACAGGAAGCCGGCATCCAGTGACCCACACCAAACATCCTGTAAGGAAGCGGGGCCCTTGAAAACAAGTCCTGAGAGGGGAGGAGAGGAGACAAGTGGAGAGGCAGAACCTTGCTGGATGGGTGTGGTGCTTAGTGGAGGTCCAGCAGCCTTGGCCTCCTGCCCCTCCACCCTAAAGCTCACCTACCTCCGCCCAACATTCCTGGACGCAGATTAAGCAGGCTGTGATTTCACTAGTGCCTGAATGATACAGCAGGTGCCTTAAACAAAGGAGCCTCAAAACTAAGGCTAAGGTCCAGGATTTACAATGGAGTTCTTCAGATCCTCTTCAAAAATAAACCCCAAACATAAAAAAACGGTTTTTGATGTTGTTTTGCCGGAATGGAAGTTTAAAGGTCATGGATAGCAATTATGTGACGTAGGTTGGAGGTGCACAGTGCAAACTTTGATGACATCGTATCCCTGTCATATATTGGTGACACAGTCAAGTTTCCCTATAGTTTCTTTATACTCATGCAGTCATGATCTGAACATCGCAATTAATTCCTTTTGATGGAGTTTCCTAAAACATCTCCCAGTGTAGTGTATGTGTTCACAAACTACATGTGTTAACACCCTGTAGCTTCCATTAAAAGTTAAAAAAACACTAAGATTGTCCGCCCTAACATCTCAATCCCTCAATCACTGTGTATAGTGGGGACTATATACTGTAGTGGACTTTATACTGAACTCAGTTAACTGATCTTTCGGACAGTTAATCACTACTTTCCACTCCTTGTTGGTCATGTAACTTCACCTCCCCGAATGGTGCCTGCGGCATCTTTGTTATTTGTCACCGTTGTCGGGTAGCGAAAGCCATAGGCGACAGCGGGCCACCGTGACAACTAATTCTATGACACATTTCGAGGAGAGCTCTCCTTGCAAAGCATTGCTGGAAATGTCTGCTCATCTAGTGACCATCGATGATCACAACTTTCATCCACTAGACATTCGGACACTCATATAAAATGGCGTAACCACTATATAGTACCATATATATTGGTAAGGATGTACATTTGGACACATTCTATTAAATTGTCAATGAATAGGATATTTTAAGTTAGCCTGACGAGTCTGATACTGCTCCATAGAGCTGTGATTATGGGGCGTGTTTCGAACGAACCAGGAAAAAAAATGCCTCTGCACTCAATTGGATAGACCTACAACCAATAAGAGCAACGGCGTGCGTGACGTATGTTAAGCGAGGCATAGTTG